AGTCATTTTCGACAGACATGCACTGCAAGCACAATAGCATTTAGCTTTTTGAGCTTTTATTACCGACAGTAGCCGTTTCACTTTTAGATGAACACATGAGCACTAGTTAAGGGTGCACCAAGGGATATTGCAGATTTTCAACAGACTGTTTTTGTCAATTTAAACTCAGCCAAACCGTTCCGTGTCAATGTTAAATGATAGAGAATTTTCTATCGATTTGAACGAAACATCCTTTTAAATCATCGTTAGATTGTTTTTCGAAATACCAAAGTCACTGAATACTAGAAAAACGCCAACTGCTCATCTACAAAATCATGAAGGTTAAAAATCAAATTTTACCACATTAGATTGATCTCAAGTTTTAATTTTCTTCACGTAAGGCATGCGACTTTTTTTAGTGCATCAAATGCTGTGCCTAGTTGAACATTCTAATTTTGTCTCCTATTGAAAAGCTGCAGAATATCTCAAAAACATCCTCGACCCAATAGTTATATGCATACTTTATATGTCGCTTTCAGGTAGTAAAGTTTTACGCAAAAGTTCGGATTGATGCCTATAAAATAAATACACTTCTCTTCTTTTCTTAGTATGTTTTAATAGCGTATAGAAAGCTATTTAACAAATAAAACGGCTATTAATTCCAGCGAAATACTGAGTATTTGATGTTTTCATGGCACGCAGCAATTTCGATGTTACACAGCGATGGAAAATCTTTATTGAACAAAAGAATGTATAAATAAATTCTACATAAAATTCTGTTTTAGCGTCTGAAGTAAACTGTTGGGTCAAGTCTAATTTGCGAAAGCAGTCTATCAATAGACGCTGTTTTTCTCTGTTGCAGTCTTTACCATTCGTCTTCCACGATAAAAATAGAATTCAATAAAGACTATTCATATTTAACGAAAAACTTTTATAATTGTACGAAGCGTTGAGTAGATAATCAATTGCACGCAGACTATTACCATAAGTCTTTATGCATACATTATTCAAATGCATAGTCTACATATTGATATTTATGTTGTGGAGCTATCACGAGGAAAGTTCGGGAATTTTAACTTAATTCCGTTTCGCCTCGCCTTGCCGTAATTTTTCCCCGCCTCGCTTCGCCCTGTCCTAGCTTCTCCCCGCCTCGACCCGAAAACATATGCCCTGTCGTAATCCCTCCCCGCCTCGTTTCCATCTCTGGTGTATGATAGAATCGTTCGTCCGACTAAAAATGTAACGAAACAGTTATACATATCAGAACGAAAGAAATCGTATAGGAAAAAGATAGTTATATGAAAGAGAAAAGTCCGTTGCAAGAAAGAAGTACCGTGTTGTTTATTAGTTATTTTATTAGTGTTTTGTACGTGGTAACGACAGTCGGATTTATATGTATATATAATGTATTTGTCTGTCTAATTCAAACTTGTTGGAATGCCTCTTATATGCATCTAGACGAGATAAATGTTAAGATAGAAGATATGTTTAACGGGATTGAAAAGTCCACTGCCGGAGTGAAATGTCCTCTTGTCGATCAAATATATATTTAGTTGACTTCTGTTTTTATCCCAATTCTCTTATTACATTATATATATATACTAGCGAGATCCCGTGCATACTACACGGCAGCGTTTTTTCCTTAACGTACGACCTCAAAACTTTAACCTTTCACTCGGTACCAGACACAGAGACACTCGACATTATGTGCATAGAAGCCGTACGGCATGATATGCTTAAATCGCCGATATCCCATGTAGCCTTACGCGCTTATAGCCTAACCCTCTTATAGCATGCCTCTTTTATAGGCTTATCCCTTTACTGCCTTATGGCCTTACCACTTAATAGCCTTATCCCCTTATTGACTTTCTTCCTTAGAGTCTTACCACCTTATAGCCTTACCATTCATAGCCTTATCTCCTTATAGCCTTACTCACTTACAGCTGTACTCCCTTATAGCTGTGCCTTCTGTTTGTCTTACTGCCTTATGAACTTATCCCTTTATAGCCTACCCCCTTATACAGTTCCCCCCTTATAGCCTACTTCCGCGTATAGTCCTACTCCCGTATACCCATACTGCATTGTTGCCTTAGCCCTTATTGCCTTACCCCTTTATACCCTTACTGCCTTACAGGCTTACCCCTGTATAGCCTTACTCCCTTATAGGCTTACTACTTATGACTTTGTTCGACCTTTAGCCTTTGACCCGGCACAGACACACACACAGACAGACGCTGAACATTATATATATAGATATATGAATAAAAGAAGGTATGCAAAAAAAGAATCTTTAGCCAAAATAGAATGGTTCGTTGAAAGAGAAATATCCTCTGATGAATACGTTATTTTAGCCAATCTATTCATCCAAAATTAGATCTCAAGTGTCAAAAAAAATGGAAGGACAAGGGGTGAAATATCTAGCTGATGTATTATGAAACAATATGGTAACTGTCAGAGTTTCTTATCACATGCAGAAAGTTGCTTCATTGCTATCATATAGACAATTAGATATCTTCATTTGGGTAGTTATGAAATTGGAGTGGAAGGTGTACGGTCCATTGCTGAAGTCATGAAGGATAATACAATATAGCTCGTATGTTTCTATATATGTCATTTTCTATTTATTTTCTTCAAAAAAAAACATTGATGTCACTTAATCTCAGAGAAAATCAAATCAGAACTAAGGGAGCGCAAGATCTGGTCAATCGAGTACACAATAATACGGTAACTATCAACTGCTTCTTTTTTTTACATACAATCTGCTGGTTGTTCATTATTAATTACACAGACAATTCAACATATCCATATAGACAGCAATGGAATCGAAGAAGAAAGTATACAATTTGTAGCTAAAGCAATAAAACAATAAGTTAATTGTTCATCTGCATGTTCTACATATTGCATTTACTTCGACTCTCATGCTGTCACAAGACACTCACTGCAATTAGTTTGGGAAAGAATCAAATTGGAAATAACGGAGTACAATATTTGAGTGATGCATTGCAGCGCAATATGGTTACTATCAATCATTTCCATCATATTTATCTGGAAGATAGTGAAATTGGAGAGAAGAGTGCATGGTTTATAGCTGAAGTCTTAAGAAATAATGCAGTAATTTTTCATCAGCCTATTGTGTGTTTCTTTTTTCGCTTGCTTTTCTTTCTGAAAAAGACATTTATTTAACTTAATCTTCGAGAAAATCATATTGAAACCAACGGAGTACACTATCTGAGCAATTCACTTCGGAACAAAATGGTAGTTATCAATCAACCTTGCTATACAGATCTAGTTCTTATATAGAAAATGCAAGTTTTGATTAGAACTCAGGATTGCTCTATTCTTTTCTCTCTATATAGACAGTATTTTCTCTTATAAATATTATAAATATTAAATACCATACACGAAATAAGAAAAAGTATAGATCGCGAGAAATTTTCCTGTTTTAACATTCATGCTTGATTTTCTCCAGCTACGATGCTTCGCTAGTTTTATCTGTGTCTAAAACTAGAACCTAAGAAGCGTAACTAATTAACCATCTGTATCTTTATCACATGAATGTTTCTACTGATTGTACAAAATAGTGAAGCAAATATTACACAAGTCCATTCTGTTTTACTAAGGTATCTCTGATTTATCTCCCGTATTTTAAGCGTACGTACTAATCAAACAATAGCAACCCAAATATTCATTGTAAAATTTGGATTTTCGTCTTCCTCCAGAAGTCTTAGAAGAAAACTAACAGAAAGACATTTCTTGAGTATTATGTATTCTTCGAGAAAATCAATCGTTAACCATAGCTGAACAATATGATGAGTAGCGATATAAATGATTATCGGCGTACTAGCATGCCATCTGAAGTATGATAAGAAACAGCCAAGCTACGTGATACTAACAAACCACCATAATCGTTGCTTTGATTCGAGAGAGCATTGTAAAATATAATGATACATTTCAGTGTCTTAGTATCAGCAGAATGAATGCATCAGATCTTAACATATATGATAACCAATGAAAAACGAGGGTTTGGGTGTGAGTAAAAGATTAAGCCAACGCTGAGGATTATATTTAGCTTATAATACATCAAATATTGTTTTATAAAAACAAGATTCTAATTGATTAGGATTTGACATAACAGAAATTAATTCCTTTCTTTTTTCTATTCGTATTCGATGATGTTCTCTTCTTGCTTCTTCATCAAACAAATAACTTAAAATGAAAGTATCAAAACAAATAATCTGATTTTAAATATTTAATTTACTCATAAATATCGCATCGAACATTAAATAATTTCGTCATGAAAAGTCTTTGCTAATATTTAGGAGATATATTAGATTTTCGTACAGGTTGTACCCAATTTTTATTGCATGTTCAATTGAACGAATGAATATTTTTATTAATGATCGAAAAGAAACATCATCTTATCATAATTATGATGAGAAAACAAACAATTTCTATGTCAAATAAAAAACAAATCTCATCTGCTGAAGAAAATCTCAGATGAAATAAATCAATCCTCAAATATCACCACTGGTAACAAAGATTTACTTACAAATCGATTTGAAGTAATTTATTATGTAATTAAAAAAAAATTTTGTTTTTTCATAAAGAATAAATCAAGATATCTGGCTGTATGTGTTGAAGGCGCATGGAAAAATTATGGTTATTGTTGGAAATCTATGATTGCTTTACATGATGTTATACTTCATGCACCAACATAAGCTATGTAAGCTATTTTATTTGAAATTTTTATTAAAAATTCAATTGGAATTTAGATATGGTTTATTGGATCCATCTGGATGTGGTAAAGCAACCTTACTAAGATGTATTGTTAGCCATTTATAACTAAATCTTGATGAAGTTACAGCACTTGTTAAATGACCTGGTGGTCGAAGTCATCAAGTTCTTGGTTGAGCTGTCGGTTTTATGTACTGATGTAACAATATCATTACCACCAATACCAATACCATTTGGTATTGATTGATATTGTTACATTCGTAATTGCAGAAACAAAGGATTAAAAAATGTTTCGTTGTCGTGATGGTCTTAGTCCAGATTTACATGCATTTGAAAAAATAAGACACATTGCAAGAGCAACTGATGTACCTGATACAGGATTATTTTATGGTCTTCTTTGGTCTAATCCAGATAAAGATACATCAAAATGGAGAGAAAATGATCGTAGTATATCGTTTACATTTGGTGCGGAAGTTGTTACACGATTTTTAACGTGACATGATCTTGATCTTATTTGTCAAGGACACCAAGTTTTATTAATATCGAAACAAAAATGAACTTTTACTCGATTAAATATTTTAAAGTTGTTGAAGATGGCTATGAATATTTTTCTAAATGTCAATTAGTAACAAGTTTTTCTGCATCAAATTACTGTGAAAAACTTGATCATGTCGATGATGTTGACGAAAATTTAATGTCTTCGTTGCAAATACTTCAACTATCAACTCAAAAAAGACTATGAAAGATATACAAACAAAAGAAACAATAGCACATACATCAAATCTTTAGATAAATACAAATTATATATGGTCATTTTATATTATTATAGTGTTTATAACATGAAAGCAAAGTGTATCGATACTGTGGTTCGATGAAAAATAAGTTGGAAACATATACCAAATGTTTTGAACGTTTTATTTCGACTTAATCTAAACATGCCATGACTTGTTATAAAAAATGCATTTGATATATGCTAAATGCAGTTATATTGTCAAAATATGACCGTACAATTTGTTTCCATTATGAATGAAAAAAAAATTTCTGGCAGAAAGAAAAATAGCATTAGACATTCATCATCACTTCACATGACTATATAAATATTATTTTCATGGATGGCACCGAGAAAAATAACAGATTGTACATATAGGAGTGATTTGCATCGTTATTGTACGGTTTGAGAAAAAAATAATGAAACAACAGAGTTTTGAATAAAAGAAATCCGAGTAGTACCTTTGATAGAGCTGTATCAATTGTGTATAAAGGGTGCGGGTGTGATGTGTGGATGGGAATGTATCGCTATCGGTGCGGGTGCAGGTATGAATGGAGATAATATCTGAACCCACATCCTCACACCCACCTACCCACACCCTACGGAGGTACGTGTGTATCACAGCGAATAGTGATCATCTTGCCGTCACTTTCATTCTATAAGCTTATCAGTGTATGCATACTCCATCATCATCATTCTGTCGTCTTACGTTTCTCTATCTTCAGTCTGTCGTTGCATTTTTCTGCTTGTGTGCGTGTATATAATGGAGAAAATTCTTGGTATCAGTGTATCTTTTACTTATTACTTGACTACCAGAGCAGAACTTTTATGACTGTGTTCGAAGAATTGATTCTGCACCATTATGCGACGTCGCCGTTTGCGGAGAGAGTCCGACTGGCTATGGGTTTGAAAAAGTTGAATTCGCGTGGGTGTGTGTGGATTCAGATATTTCCTCCATTCATGCCTGCACCCATACCCCACCAACCCACATCCCCACCCTGAAAAAAATTTTCTTCGTGGGTATGAAAAAGGTTATTTAAGTTGGGACATGAACTTTTATATATTTTTGTTCCGAAATAATCAATACTAATGCCTGTCCAAAAATTAAATAGCCGTGGATATTTTTGGAATAACTCCAGAACGAAAAGAGCTAGAGAGATGCGGTTTTCACCATTATGTAGGCGTATGAGTACTCTATATATTCGCTAAGACATGCTGAGAATCCTTGCAAATTCAGAGTTTCATCAGTGTCAATCTTTCAAAGAACACCTCGCAGTTTTTTAAAGTTCTACTGAGACCTATATATCTAAACTACGCAAAAGATAGCTCAAATGTTCCTCTACAAAATGACACAAGGCCTACCTCTCTAGTTTTTGTCGTTCTCAAATAACATTCATTTTCCTGGAACCTATGCTAGTCCTTTTTCTCAATAGGATAATATGCAAGTATTCATAATAAAATTACATTATTGATGGTAGTTTCTTCTGTAAAAGTGGCTCTTCTAGATAGCGAGCAGCTTTATTAATTGAGAATGAAGTATTCGACTATGTAGAACAATCATAAATTCAAATTATTTCATTGGAGTATAAAATTATGTAAAAATGTAAAAAAGCAAAAAACGCATAATTTTATCGATGGCATATAAGAAAACATCTGTTATTGAGGAAGACGAGCGTTTACTCCTTGTGTAATATATTTATTTAGTTCGCGTCATCCTAGTCGCGTAACGTTAGTCTTCTAAGCGTCGTTGATTTGTTTTCTGAGTAAGAGTTTTGGCTCTCTAAAACTTTTCTAAAACATCAGCACAAAAAAACAACTGTTACAGTGAACTTATTAACGAATGTATTGAGTATCTCTGGTATTATAAAAATACGATTCTTTTATAGATCAACGATCCTGATATTATGCACGTGATACGATGAAGACAATAGAAGTGAGATAAATATATTCCATAAGGATTGAATGCTCGTCTTCCTCAATAACAGATGTTTTCTTATATGCCATCGATAAAATTATGCGTTTCTTGCTTTTTTACATAGTTTTACACTCCAATGAAATAATTTGAATTTATGATTGTTCTACATAGTTGAATACTTCATTCTCAATTAATAAAGCTGCTCGCTATCTAGAAGAGCCACTTTTACAGAAGAAACTACCATCAACAATGTACTTTTATTATGAATACTTGCATATTATCATATTGAAAAAAAGGACTAGCATAGGTTCTAGGAAAATGAATGTTATTTGAGAACGACAAAAACTAGAGAGGTAGGCCTTGTGTCATTTTGTAGAGGAACATTTGGGCTATCTTTTGCATAGTTTAGATATATAGGTCTCAGTAGAACTTTAAAAAAAGGGAACATAATTTTTGGCCAGTAAAATAAATGAAATGGTCAGTAAAAAATACACAAATTATCAGTGTAAATATTGAAATGATCAGTACTAAAGTGGTCAGTTTATATATATATAAGTATCAGTAACAAATTCAAATTTGGTCAGTAAAAATTCAAATTTTATCAGTAGAAGAAGCAAGTTTTCTCGTACAAAGATTAGCTTAGTATAAGAAAAATAAATTTATATAAATTAAAAAAATCACAGAATAAATAAGAAGAAATTCAACAGAACATANTGATGAAAAAATGTTGCTATTTTTCAACATACTCGTCTTGCTAAGAAGTTGAGAAACGGTCCACAGTCCTTCAATGAGCATATTTCGGTTGTAGATTGTGTTTCTGTCATTTAAAAAGAAAAGTCTGTTGTTAAGATGTCAAAAATTCTCATTTTTCAGGAAAAATTGAGCTAAAGAGTTGCTTTGAAAATTTTGAAACGGATATGATTCGATGTAATTTTGTTTGCTCAATACGATTCGATGCTTTTTTTCTATTGAAAAATGGTATTTTTGGGCAAATTGAAAAAAATAAAAAATCGATGATATTACATTTCTTTTGAAAATTTCCACCTGTGCCACCCGAATTAAATGGTAAAAAAATACTTCATCTTGTGCAAAGCTAGGTGCTCTACAAGACTCACTAGTCAAATTTTCTGTTAGTTTTAAAGGAATTATTAAAAAAAGAAATACTAAAAAACTCGTAAAAAAAATTCGAAAAAATCGGACACTTAAAAAACGTCAAATGTACCGTTCGATGCAGTTTTGTACGCTCTTTCAAATGAAACGTTATCCAAATCTGTCCGATGTGAATTGGCTTCAAAAAGACGAAATTACTGAAAATTCCATTTTCTTCGTCGTTTAGAAGGGTTCTTGTATTAAAATTCCTATAACTCCGTGAATATGAGATTTCAGAGTCTAAAAAAGTTTTTATTTTCTACATTTTTTCACGATGAATCGAATGAAATAAAACAGGAGTGTTTGGAAAAATCATGTTACGACCTATCTGCATTTCGCTCGGTTTTCTCATGCGTTTTCTCTCAATATATTCTTTTTTTTCTCTTTTTTCCTTTTCTCTTCTACTACTTTCTGTTCTTCTTTCCGTCATACTCACTTATAAAAAATGTTTCTTTTGTTGAATACTGAGTTATAAGATAGTATGTATAAAAGCGTTCATCAACGCAGCATGGGATTTTGTAGTTTATTAGATCAACAGTTTCTGCTTATTATAAATCAAATTTATTAGTGTAAGTGTTTGCGAGTGTGACATGCCAAGAAACGCAAAAAAGCTCATTTGAGTAATGCATCTTATACACATCTAGCAACTAACTTCTATGATTGGTTGAAAAAAATGAGCCATTCTAATAACTTTCTTTTTGTCTTTTTTTTTTCTCAAGAATAATTGTCGAGTCTAGTTTTACCATGGAAATTATAGTTCTTCATCGACTATGAGAAAAGCACATTCATTTCACTGTTTATAAACTTTCATTGTGGTTCACTTAGTATCGATTATGAACAGCGACGGTCGGCATCCATTGATGTGACTATTGATTCTCAGTTGAACAAGCAACATTCGTCAACGATGACTCTCGTGATTGTATTTGCGTTCAATAACGAGACAGTTCACTACTCAATCGAACATTTTGTCGAACATAGGCCACGAGAAAAATGTTGGCATACCCTTTTTATAGTCATGGTTGAGAGCCCGAGCAACTTTGCCTATCAAAACAAAAATTTAGCTCAATCAGACATAAGTCTGAGAAATGATGGAAAAAAACAGTGCGAGTTGGTCGGTCAGATACATATAGACGGATCAGTTTTAGTATATTTTGACAATATATTGAAAACTATTTAACACATCAGCCGGAGTAATATTTCAAAAAGATAGAGAACTTTCTATCGACAAGTCAGTATATACGTTAATGTTAGTTCTCTGAAGTCAATTGAGGGCCAAAATCGTGTATTCGTTTTCCGAGTGTTAAGATAATGCTTTACAAGTATCAAATAGCATAGGAGTATGAAGAATGAGAGAATGTAGCTATATTTAGTGTTAAAAAACAGGGATACAACAGTTTGGAAAAAGTTCCGAACTAAGCTGAACTGTTTGGACAGAACAGTTCACTTTGCCAGAATTCCTCTCGCACAGTTCTCCTGAATTGACTTAAACTGTTCGCATAGTTCAGGTCAACTCAGAGAACTGAAAATGGCGGACTCTCTGTGGTAGCCAAAAGTTTCCTTGGGCTACCTATAGGGGTACTCATAAGTCCTCATGGCCTATCCTAAGGGGATTCTCATAAGTCCCCATGGACTATCCTATAGAGGTACTCATAAGTTCTCATGGG